ACCATATAAACGATTCCGAAAACGGTATTTCTTAGTCTATCTAGTTGGATTTTGACTTGTCTTTAGTTCAAGTGTTTCCATTAGAAAATTTTATAACCCTTTTGAGTTTGGTTTTACGTATGGTCTAGGAAACCCTAGTTATTTTTGTCCACAGGTCCAAATGTCCTCGTTCCACTTTAAAGTCTTTTATACGTTCTACTCATCATTTGTCGAGCTTCTTTGATTGCACCTAATTGTTTGTGATAAATGAGTGGTAATATTCTTTTCATTTAATTTTAGGTTTTCTCAGTGACTAAAGATAATATCCGGAAGGATATTTTGCACGTTGTTGTGCGTAAATAGGTGAGTGTTCTATATACTTTTTGTTTCTATGACTATGTGGATTGTTGTGACTATGTGGTTATTTGTGAATATTTGATTAAATGTTAATTGTTTTCTATGATTTCTAAAATGAACTTTTGCTAGGCGAGTGTGTACTTTATCGCACTCGACCTAAATAAATATGAAATTTTCGGTGATTAAATGTTGAAATACTAGTTGCGCATGAATGTAAGCCTCTTTGGCTGAACTGGGCCCTTGCCCTTGTTACCGATCGACTCGAGCCAGAAGCGGACTCGGTCGGGCGATATGGTGACCTGGGTGAATTTGGTATACTCGAGTATTACCTTGTAGTCCGGCTAACGTCCGGATGGGTGGAGTCCGGCCAATGTCCGGGTGGGTGGAGTCCGGCCAACGTCCGGAAAGGGATGAATGAACGAACGCAGGCACGAGGGTTTTACTTCTCAAAAAGGAAATTCTCAAATCATTGGAGGAATAAGGGGAAATGTCAAGGGAACGAACGAACGAGCAAATAGCTCCTTGTGAGCCTGTATCCTTTTAATGAATGTATTATCATTGCTTTATATTGGACATGTTTTCTGGATTAAATGTTATTACATGACTAATGTTCCTTGTTTAATTACTTGTTTATATATATAGAACCTCACTGGGTTTTTTAGCTCATACCACGTAAATTGTTTTCCTTAGCAGGGGAAGGCGAGCAAGGACGAGAGTTCTGTATAGTCTAGTTGATCTAGTTCTTTGGCCTTGCAATGGTTCTCGCCCTAGTGCTTGGCACGGGCTGGTTGTATGAGGAATGAGAACCCTCGTATATTCGATGTTTGTACTTGAATGGTAAACACTTTGAAGACTTCTGGTGTGTAGAAGTTTCTTATCTTTTACTTGAGCATCTATTGTCTATGGATGTATATACATGATACGAGTGAGTGAGTCCTGGCGAGAGTTGGGCTGGCGACCCGCCGAACTCTTTGGTACGCCCTAGGGTGAGGTGGGGCCGTCACAAAATCAGCCTTTGGTCAAAACATGAAAGTTTTAGCCCTATGTTTCAGCTTTCCAACGCAACCAAAAACACCTCAAATGGAATTGTGTAGCCTGACTTATTGCCGTTTGAATTCAGTCATGAACTTCTGGTTCTGTAATTTATAGATTCGACCTAGATAAACTATGAACTGGGTCGAGTTGTCTTCATCAAAGTTGTAGCCCTTTGTCTTAGCTTCGAAACGGTATAAATTTTACCCCAATCCGAATAGTGTAGCTTCGCTTGTGACCGATACGCTAAGAGACGTCAAATATGTCATTTAGCTATTTGCCTTTAAACTTGATTTCCGGTTGCCTAGGCAGGCAAACACGCACGCAAAATGAAACAAACAAACAAATGAGTCCTATCTATTACATTTGGGAAAGCCTAAACAATCTACGAGGGGGAAAATCTTTGGAAAAGTAAAATCCTAACTATTACAAAATGGCATTTAAAATGCCTCCAAATAATTACATTCAGAGGAAACGAACGAAATTAAAATTAAATAATTAAAGAGATAAATGAACAAAAATGAAATAAAACACCCAAAATCATGCAATTACACATATAGGCCACATAATGCATATATGGTCAAACAAAGTAAAAATGAGAGATAGGGTGTACCTCCCTTGATTTGGGCCCTAATGAAGTGAAATTACACGTTTACCCTCCAAAATAATAAAAGGATCAAGGCATCACTTTAATAGTAAAATATAAACAAAAAAAAACACAAAAATAAGTTAAACCAACAAAATCACCAAATCCTTCTCAATTGCAATTTGAATGTAATCAAATAATGCATAAAGAAAGTGAATTATCATTCAAATTTCTAACATAGAAAACTACTAGGGACCCAAAAGCAAACATTAACCAATTATTCAAGTCCAATTAAAATATTTTGAAACTTCAAAGGTCCAAAAGTAATAAAAGGGTCAAGTAATGGTTTAAATTGCAATTACCCTAGGACTCAATTACAATAAATTAGAACATAATTGGGCCTTTGTAGCATGAGGAGGAACATGTGGGGATGGATTTGCAATTTTTGGAAAAAAAATTTCATGCAAAATCCATGCAAATCACGAAGGGAGACCTGCTTCTACAACAAAACTGCAATTTCCAGCCACAAACTTAATCCATAAACCTTCGACAAACAAGACTTTTGAGCCAACTCAAATTGAAATATGTCTAAATACCTCTTAGCAAAGCAATCCTTAAAAGAATTTCATGCAAGTTTCATGCAACAAATAAGGTTTTGCAACCGAAAGAGCAGTCTGATGCATTTTTCTTATTCATACTTTCATAGTAGATAAGCAAAATCATACTTCCATATGTCATAGTAATACACCCAAACAGAAGGCCATCGCCTTCTGCACAAAACCAAACTCAGAAAAAACTCAGAAAATTGTCAAAGCATCAGCATAAATCCATAAAACTCCATCATCAAAGCACGCGGTCTTTTAAGAAACTTTCTGCAATCTTCTGCTGCAATTTTTGCAGCTCCAACTCACGAAAAATGCACAAAAAAAACTGATTATCTAACAACTTAACTCACGGACATCACCAATCATCAAGCTTAACACTGATCAAACATGGTTTGTCTAACCTTAGCAGATTCAACAGAAAGCATCCAGGTAAAGAAAACAAAATGACAAACTAAAGATGGCATGCGAAATCTGGAAAAAATTTTTGTGACTCTTCTATGTTTACTCCATCAGTTTCACAAATCGTGCAAACCATCTCCAAACTAACAAAGATCATGCAACCAAACACTAAACAAAGCACAGTCAATAGCAATAGGAGGCAGAACTGCGTAGCTTTGCTGTGTTTTCAAACTTCGGCAAACATCACACAAGTTAAACAAGCAGAACAATCCCACCGTGAATCATGAACCCAACCCCAAACTTTCTACTGATGTTCAAAATAATCCTTCCCGTATTTGCTTGCCTAACAACCTAGTTCATCAAACGGAAGGTGGGCATAAGGAAAAGAAAATCCATAGTTCCCTACTCCAAAGGGGGTTGCAACTATCCTCCAGGTTATCAGAAAACAAAAGGATTTCGATTTAATCAACCCATGATGCATGTACAGAAATAATCAACGGGAGATAGCTACGGATAAAATTATGGAGCTCATGCTTTGAAAGCTTCGATCTGAACATGGAAAGAAACCCAAGCTTAAGAAGAAAAGATTACTTACAGTGCTTTCTTCCTCTTTCGAAGGTGATGACAGTGGAATGAAATGGAGATGATTCTACTCCTTGCGATAGGCAGCAGCTGCAATGGCCTTTTCGTTCCTTTAAGAGTAGTGCCCGACCAGGTGTTTCTTCTCCTAGTTCTCCGCTGTTTTTCTCTTTTTTCCCAAAAACCCTAGCTTTTACTCTCAGCTGTCCTCCCTATCTCTCCCACTCTGTTCTGTCTTTCCTCTCTCGAAGTTCTCCTTATCCTTTCCCCCTATTTTTTAGCTCTGCCCGTCGTTATCTCCCTCAGCCGCCAACCTCCTGATTCTACTCTCCAGCCCTTGCTAACCCCTCAGTTCTTCTTCGCTGCTCTTTTTTCTTTTCTTCTTACCTGAACCTCCCTCTTTTTCCCAGCCATCCCCTTTCACTCCCCTCTTTTCTTTTTCCTCTGCTTTTTCTTATCTAGCCCCGCCGTCCACTCTCTCCTTTTCAGATTTTTCTTTCAGCCCGTCACCTCTATGTCATGGAGCAGAAATAAAGCTGAAGGCGTGAACTTAGTATCGCGCCTTAGTAAAGATAACAGAAGGGAAGCTGAAAGCGTGAAAACTGATATCACGTCCACTAAGAAGGAGGAAGGCGTGCATTAGGAGAGGAAAGCGTGAAGCAGGAAGAAGAAGCAGAAAACAAAGGCGTGAGGTTAGAAACACGCCTTTGCTGGAAACAAGCTCAAGCAACGTGAGCTCAACAGCAAGTGGCTCTGCAAACAGATTCAGTTAGCTATTCACATGGCCAAGCTGAATGGGTGGACGCGGAAGGAGTTTGTTATTAGCTAGCTCTATATATAGACAGGAATAGTAGAGGAAAAGACAGGATTATTGTTAGCAATTTGTAAGGGATCATTCCCTGAACCTTTCTCTTCTGATTTCCTTCATTCTATCATTTCTTTTCTTCATCCCGCCAATTCTGTAATCTCTTGTTTCATCAATATCAATATCAGTTCATTGATCATTCATTAGTTCATTATTGATACTTCCTATTATTCATCTTGTTTTGTGCTAAATTCATTATATCTATCCACTGGGAGCTGTTCTATTGCCTGGCTACTGTTCGATACCATAACAGTGGTATCAGAACTAGCTACGAGCCATTGGGAGATGACTAAGGCTCAGGAGGAGGCTCTGAGGAAAGTGCTCACTGAGTTGGGGAGTGTGGTTAGGACTTTTGCCAATAGGAATGATGGGGTAGAACAGTCTATGAGGGCAATGGAGCATAGACAGGAAAACACAGATAAAGCCATCAGAAGCTTAGACCAAAAATATGAGGGGATGATGAACATGATGGCTCAGATCATGGCCAAGTTAAATGACAAGGGGAAGGAAGTAGGAGGTAGTAGTTCTGAGAGGGAGACACGGATAGAAATTACCACAGATACATGAGAGGGGAATGGTACCCTGGAAGGAGCTAACCATGGCAGTGTGTGAAAGGTTTGGAGAAGGAGATCCAGAGGAGGCCATAGAGGAATTCAACAAACTGATGCAAACTGGGAGTGTATCTGAGTACCTGGAGAGGTTCAAGCAGCTGAAATCCATAGTAATGGTAACTCTCCCTGGCCAACCTGATTCTTATTACAAATCATGTTTTCTTAGTGGCTTAAAAGAAGAGATAGTGAACATGGTTAGGATGACCAGACCCCTTACTTTAGCAGACACCATTGAAACTGCTAAACTGCAGGAGAAGAACTTGGAAGCCCTTAGAAAGAGCCAAGGAAAAATGATGCAAAAATATTCCACCCCACCCAGTGTCCCACCAAATAACAAACAAAATTTCCCTCCACATGCTAAAGAAAAGTGGCCTAACTTCCAACCTAAAAGACCAGAACCTTTTTCCAATAGAAATGCTAGACCTATAAACCGTACAGTGGACCAGTTCAAAAGGAACCTTTTGGGGTAGGGGAACCCTTAGAAGAATCAGGGAAAGACACAGAGGAGTTCTGTGACTGTCCAGAAGGGGAATTAAGTAATGAGAACATAGAAGTGTCCATTCATGCATTGGCAGGAGGGACTGAGCATAAGACACTTAAGCTTAAGGGTAGGATAGCAGGAGTGGAGATCTTAATTCTGGTAGATAGTGGGAGTACTCACTGTTTTATTGATGAAAGATTGGCAGAAACCATACAACTACCAACTATTGGAAATCCATTAACAGTCAGGGTTGCCAATGGTGAACAATTAGAGTCCAGGCAGTTGCAGGGAGCTGTACAGTGGGAAATGCAGGGTAATCAATTCACACACCAATTCAATACCTTGAAACTGGGAAGCTGTCATATGGTTCTGGGGGTAGATTGGCTAGCCAGGTATAGCCCTATTGAGTTTGATTTCAGGCAGCTCTCCATGAGGTTCCTACAAGGAGGACAACCAGTAGAGTTGAAGGGGGAAGTCAGCAAACTCAAGCTCAAGGCCATCAAGGGGAGTAAATTAGCAAAATGGAGGAAAAAACAGACATATGGAATATCTGCCCAGCTGTGTGTGATGGAGGAAGGGGAGGAGGACACTGAAGTAATACCAGCAGAAATGAGGAGTTTGCTGGACCAATTTAAAGGAGTGTTTGCTGAACCTCAAGGCATGCCCCCTAGAAGGAGCCACGACCACAGCATTCCACTGAAGCAAGGAGCTATCCCATTCCAGGTCAGGCCATACAGGTGCCCATATGTACAAAAAACAGAAATAGAGAGGTTGGTGAAAGAAATGTTACAAATGGGGATCATCCAACCCAGTAATAGTCATTTTGCATCCCCAGTGTTACTAGTCAAGAAAAAAGATGGTAGCTGGAGGTTCTGTGTAGATTACAGACAACTGAATGAACTCACCATGAAGGACAAATTTCCTATGCCCCTAATAGATGAGCTTCTGGATGAACTGCATGGCTCAAAATACTTCACCAAAATTGACTTGAGGGCTGGTTATCATCAGATCAGGGTCAAGGTGGAGGACATACACAAGACAGCTTTTAGAACTCACCAAGGCCTTTATGAATTCAAGGTTATGCCTTTTGGGCTAACAAATGCTCCAACAACATTCCAGAGCCTTATGAACCACATTTTCAGGGATCAACTGAGGAGGTATGTCTTGGTCTTCTTTGATGACATACTAATCTACAGCCCCTCCCTGGAAATACACCTGCAGCAGGTAGCAGAAGTGTTGAATCTATTGCAGGAACACCAACTTTATGCCAAGAAAAGTAAATGCTCTTTCGCACAAACAGAGGTGGAGTACCTTGGCCACATTATCTCAGGACAAGGAGTAAGGGCAGATCCCAAGAAGGTGGAAGGAATGATGAATTGGCCCACACCAACTTCTGTCAAGGAGCTCAAAGGATTCCTTGGACTGACAGGATATTACAGAAGATTTGTAAAAGGGTATGGGGCTACTGCAAAACCTCTCACCATATTACTAAAGAAGGATGGGTTCCACTGGAATGAAGCAGCAGATGAGGCTTTTCAGAAACTCAAATTGGCAATGTGCAGCACTCCTGTACTAGCCCTGCCAGATTTCACTAAGCAATTTGTGGTAGAAACAGATGCATGCTATGGAGGAATTGGAGCAGTACTTATGCAGGACAGGAGGCCAATAGCATTCCTAAGTCAAAGCCTGGCACCTAGGAACCTGGGCATGTCTATTTATGAGAAAGAATTGCTAGCTTAGTGACTGCAGTTACTAAATGGAGACACTACCTGGAGGGGAACCACTTCATCATAAGAACTGACCATCAGAGCCTTAAGTATCTCTTGGATCAAAGAATCACTACCTCACTTCAACAGAAATGGCTCACCAAATTGCTGGGACTCAGCTATGAGATTCAATACAGGAAAGGGAAGGAAAATATAGCAGCAGATGCTCTATCCAGGAGGGCAGGTGGACAGGAAGGAGATTGCACTGAACTAACCTGTGTCCTACCCGAATGGATGAAGGAAGTAATAGGGAGCTACCAAGGAGATGAGGAGGTGCAGAACATGATCAGGCAGATAGTACGTACACCTGGAAATCCACCAGAACATTCTTACCAGGATGGAATACTCAGATACAAAGGCAGGATAGTAGTTGGCTCAGCAGGGGAAATAAGGAAGAAAATTATTGCTACACTACATGAGTCTCAGCTAGGAGGACATTCAGGAGTGCAGTCCAGCTAATTCAGAGCTAAACAACTTTTTTACTGGACAGGTATGTATAGGGACATCAGGAATGTTGTGTTACAATGTGATACCTGCAGAAAGTGCAAGGATGAACACACTGCCTATCCAGGACTCCTGCAGCCACTCCCTATTCCCAAATATTCTTGGAGCCATGTAACTATGGACTTAATTGAGGGGCTACCTTTATCTGAAAGGAAGGATACCATCATGGTAATTGTGGACAGGTTCACCAAGTCAGCTCACTTTATTAGTTTGTCTCATCCCTTTGATGCCCCAACAGTCGCCAGGATATTCTTAGATCATGTTTGCAAATTGCATGGAATACCTCTTAGTATGCTCTCTGATAGAGACAGGGTATTCACTAGCCAATTCTGGATTGAGATGTTCTCCCTGCTGGGAACTAAACTGGAATTGAGCACGGCCTATCGTCCCCAAACAGATGGCCAAACTGAGAGGGTGAATCAAGTACTAGAAATGTACTTGAGGTGTATGACTCATCTGGAACCTAAAAGATGGAATGCTTGGCTTTCTCTTGCAGAATGGTGGTACAACACCACCTACCACACTGCCATTCAAATGAGCCCATTTGAAGCTCTATATCGAATACCCCCTCCCCAGTTAGCTCTGGGGCCTTACACTCAAGCCAGGGTGGCTACTGTAGAAGACCATCTGAAGAACAGACAACGACTGGATGAACTACTTAAAAGCAACTTACAAGAAGCACAAAACAGAATGAAACTATATGCTGACCAAAAGAGGAGTGAAAGGACCTTCAATGCAGGAGACTGGGTGTACCTCAGATTACAACCTCATAGGCAAACTACTGTGGAACTAAGGGGCAACACCAAGCTGTCTGCCAAATACTTTGGGCCTTATCAAGTATTGCAGAAGATAGGAAAGGTTGCCTATAAACTTAAGCTGCCTGAAGGAGCCAAGATACATCCAGTATTTCATGTGTCCCTACTAAAAAAGAAGGTGGGGGACCAAACCACCCCTGTACTCCAACTACCAAATGTAGACGAACAGGGGCATCTCAGAGTGGAGCCAGTAGCAATGTTAGACCGAAGAATTCTTAAAAGGAAAAATGCTGCAACTGTGCAATGGCTCATCCATTGGTGGGGTACTCAACCAGCTGAAGCTACTTGGGAGGATGCTGAACGAATTGAACAGGAATTCCCTGGATTTCAATCTTGAGGACAAGATTGATTGAAGGGGAAGCAATTGTCATGGAGCAGAAATAAAGCTGAAGGCGTGAACTTAGTATCGCGCCTTAGTAAAGATAACAGAAGGAAAGCTGAAAGCGTGAAAACTGATATCACGTCCACTAAGAAGGAGGAAGGCGTGCATTAGGAGAGGAAAACGTGAAGCAGGAAAAAGAAGTAGAAAACAAAGGCGTGAGGTTAGAAACACGCCTTTGCTGGAAACAAGCTCAAGTAACGTGAGCTCAACAGCAAGTGGCTCTGCAAACAGATTCAGTTAGATATTCACATGGCCAAGCTGAATGGGTGGACGCGGAAGGAGTTTGTTATTAGCTAGCTCTATATATAGACAGGAATAGTAGAGGAAAAGACAGGATTATTGTTAGCAATTTGTAAGGGATCATTCCCTGAACCTTTCTCTTCTGATTTCCTTCATTCTATCATTTCTTTTCTTCATCTCGCCAATTCTGTAATCTCTTGTTTCATCAATATCAATATCAGTTCATTGATCATTCATTAGTTCATTATTGATACTTCCTATTATTCATCTTGTTTTGTGCTAAATTCATTATATCTATCCACTGGGAGCTGTTCTGTTGCCTGGCTACTGTTCGATACCATAACACTCTATTTCCCTCACGGTGCACGCTGTTCTCCTTCTCCTCTGATTTTTTCCTTAGCTATCCCCTCTCTCAGCTTTTTATTCCTTTTCTTCTCAGCCTCCGCTCTCTCTCGGTTTCTTCTCCAGCCTTCAAAAAAAACCTCCCCAAAACTCTCTCTCTCTAACTCAGCCGCCTCCCTTTCCTTTTTATACCGAATGACCAAACCCAAAACCCTAATCTCAAGGGTTGTCACTAAACCTCAGCTCCACTTCTCTCCTTCACACCATTAGATCATTCTTAGTTTTCGGATGAGAGCCAAGTGGAATGGGGTTAAAAGTAATCCAATGGTGATGGAAAAAACGGTGGGAAAAAGAAAATAGGATTGCGCAGCATTTTCTCGTATTTTAGCCTCATGTTTCTGCTTGAAAATGAAATATGGAGATAGAGCTCGGATCACATGCAGCTCACGCAAGCGTGAGCTAGGTCTGTCCTTTTCTTTCTTTTTTTTTTATTGATGATTTTCCTTTTTTCTTTTTTTTTAATTAAATAACAGTAAACTTGAATCTAAAAGAAATAAAACATATTTTTGTGAATGATTTTCTTTTTTTTCGATAAATTCTATGCTAAAATGACTTAAAAATAAAAATAAGAGACTAAAAGTAAATAAAAACTAACATGAAAAATAAAAATAATAGTAAATAAAACTACACTAAAAATTTGGTGTCTACAACTATCATGTATAAACTCCAATTATCACGAATGATTGCACACTTGTACAATCTAAGAAAATTTCATGAAAGCGAGCCTAAATTACTAGTGAATCAAGGCTCAAAAGTGGGGTTTTTAAAGCACAAGAGAAATCGTGTTTTCATCTTTGAAATCAATGTAAAACGTTCAAGCGATATCGAGGGAAAAAAGAGAATTCGAAAAACTTCATTTCCTCAAGTTTCGAAAATTTCAGCTTTGATATAAGATCTTTAAAAAATCGTATCTCACTCATTACAAGTCCAAAACTGGAAAAATTAGTACCGTTGGAAACTTCTTCCAAAGTACTAAAAGTTCCTAGAATACACTTTCCCATGATTCCCAACGGAAGGCATTCAAAAATTGGATCAAAGTTACTGTTTTAGCCTTGCGAGACAGTTTTGAGGTTGGTTTTTTGCCAACTTTGAAAATTCGACAAAATTCACAGAATTTGAACTAACCTCTCAGATTTGAAAATCAATTAGAGTTGCAATAAAATTTAAAACAAAACAAGCGGAACAAGAATCAGAATTTTGAGCACCAAGATATGGCGGCTCAAAGTTGCCGAAAAATTGAGACGGTTAGGCAAATTTCCAGGTTTAATTTACAAATTTTGGGACTTTGTTTGAGCATCGAAATGAACTCGGAATAGCACCAAATTTGGCAGTATTATACTACCATATAAGGGTTATTCCTCTATCAATTTTAATGGAAAAATGCGAGAACCCGTGAATTTTCTTATTTTCTAGACTTTATTTTATTTAATTACACGCCTTTTATGCATTTTCTTTATTAGGAAAAATTTTCTAAATAATTTTTATGAGCAAATAGGGTTTTTAAAATCATTTTCCTAGTATAAGTTAGTTCATAAGAATTTAGGAATGTATACCGGGCGTGGGACCCGCTAGTGCGGTAAGTTTGATAAAATTCGGCCAACTAGGTTAAGTTTTGTATACCGGGTTTAATTTATCAGGTGTTAAGAGATAACTAGAGGTTACCTAGATGGATTATCATTGGAGAGACAAAAGGATAACTCTAAGCCAAAAGGGTGACAAGTGTCACTTTCCTACTCAATCTTGACTTTGACTACTATTCACTAACTTTACTAAATATCTAATTTGGATCCAAAATCATCTTCATTCATCATCATCTTAGTCGACTCTCTCAAGGGAGAAAAGAAAAGAAAAAAACCTCCAACTTCCTTCATCTTAAGCTTGCTCAATCTTCAAATCTAACCGATAAAACTTCAAATCACTCCATAAAAACCCTTAGCTAGGTGGTATTGAAGTAGTTGGTGAAGTGGGTTGGAAGAAAGTGGTGGTAAGTAGCTTCTTTTCTTGAGGTTGCAAGGTGAGTAGCTAAGGAATTCCATCTTTGGTCTTGATAATGTTAAATTAATGACTTGTGTTGGTTAAAGATGTGTTTTTGTGGAAGATTTCTTGACTTTTGGTAGATATTGGTGAAATTTTTATTTTTATTCATGATTTTTCTGTTTTATATGTTTAATATTGGTTGGCCATGGATGATGGCTTGGAATGGTCTAGAATGAAGCTTGGATGCGTAAGTTGTAGCTATTTGCGGAAATTTTCTCTTTGTACGGGAAATTTCAGATTTAGGGTTTGAATTGGGGCTTTTCTAGGATTACTATAGAACTCCTGAATTGGCTTTGTTTAATGAGTATTGGAACCCTACTAAGGTGTATTAAAAGACTTATGACTTGTAATTGTAATTGTGGTGGTGTTGGATGAATATAATTGATTTTTTTGTAGGTTGGAAATTTGAAATTTTAGGGGTTATGCTGTCCAAATTTTTGGTCCATATGATTTCTTGGAATTGGGTTGTTTAGAGTGGTAATTAGTGACCTTGGGGTTATCTAAACCCTTAGCACCAAGTGTTCCTTATATTACTTTCAAGTTCTAATGGCTTTACATTAGTGATATGTGGTTTGGGTTTATGACTCGTATTCGAGTCTCATGGTGTTTACTTGAATATTTTAGGGTGTGCCGGTGACCCAAGGCGCTCGTTGGACGGAAACTTGTGAAATTCGTTTTGTTTGATTGGTGAGTGTACTACTCACATGATTGTTGCTTCATGGCTTTGATTTACTTGAAATCTATGACTTGAATGCTTGGGTATACTATTGAGATTGATTGAGACGAAGGTGTACTTTATCACTCTCGCGCTCTATGGCTTAAGTGACTGTTTACTGTATCAATTGAATTTCACTTGAACATACTTGAATTGGTGTCATTGGACGTGTATCCAATGACCTTTATTGTTAACACTGAGCTCAACCTCATTGGCGGTCAATTGAATCGAGCCAGCAAGGATTTGGTCGAGGAAGTTGACAAGCCATGGGGACTGTTATATGGAATCATTGAGTATGAGACTGTTGATTCCGATATACTCGAGTATTACCATTTTTGAACTGTTTGGAGTTCGGGTCCGGTAGGGGTATGTGAGGTGGAAGGGAATTGGAGAAAAGTGGGGTCTACGGTATTGGTTACTCTTTATACATTGACGGAGCGTCAATGAGGTGAGATCAAGAATGCCAAAAGTGGAAAAAGGTTCTTGAAAGCCGTCCGTATCCTTTTCCCCTATTTGTTGTGTGGTGTTAGTTGTGCTCACTTGATGAACTTATTTGAATTGTGTATCATTGTGATTATGTACTCTTTGAATGCCTGAGTGATGGTACCTCATTGAGCGAAAGCTCACTCCATTAAATTTTGTTTTCCTTACAGGGAACAACTTTTGGGGACTATGATGTTTTGAAGCATGAGTTGAGCTATATTTAATATATTCTTTTGTTAAGCTCCTCGATAGTTAGAGAAACCCTAAATGTACTTTGATCCAAATATCTTCCGTTTGATTTGTAAATTACAAACGTATGTGTATAACACTGTTTAACCCTGTTCATGTATCCTATTTGGTTTGAAAATGTTTTCTTTCCAAGTTATATGGCGATATTTATATTTGATTGGATTCTGGTTGGACGGTGACGTGGCAGCCACTATTCATTTGCGGTTTCAATTTTCGTTTTTCCATTTTGCGATTTTAAAGCGTTTAAGCGTGCTATCACCTTTCGGAACGTTTTATATTGTATTTAACTGCCTCGTCAGTCCTAGCGAGAGTTGGGCAGGCAGTCTGCTAACCCCTTTGGTACGCCTTAGGGGAAAGTGGGGCTGTCACAGGTGGTATTAGAGCCTAGGTTAGAAATAACCCAGACAAGTTTGAATTTTGTTCCTTAGGATCTGTGAGGGAAGCATTAAGGTACCGTTGAGTGTGATTATGCTTACGTTGTCTAAGATATGAACTCCTTTGTTATCTTTATAGGTTATGGGCGGAACGAGTGGAGAGGGTGGAGAGGAGCCACCTCAGAGGCGCCCACGAGTCATTGATTACCAGGAGAGGCTGGCAGGTCAGATCCGGCTTTGGTATACTGCTAGCCGAACCCGTCGCTGTAAGCGTTGCCAGTATTACTCTTATGCTGACCACGTGGTCGTGGCGGTGCTAGATGAGAGGAGGAGACTTAGGAGTGCCGCCGCCAGGGATCACACTGAGGCGCTTAGATTGAGGGGTGTCATAAGCATGCAGGCTGATCGGATCGGAGAGCTCCAAGAAGATATAGCCATGGAGCAAGAATGAACTAATGCTCTTAGAGAGCAGTTGCAAGGGGTCAACCAGCGCCTTACTAATATTGTCCGGGAGGTTAGAGACCATTCTGGAGGCATTATTAATGAGTGTGCGGCGCTGATCCAAGGTGTAATTGGTGCCAATGCGCAGGTAGTGGCTCCTGGTGGCGATGCACCTAGTGAGGGAAGTACCCCTAGTTTTAGCCAAGGGGGAGAGTCTATGGCCTCCGTAAGGAACTAGGCTAGAACTTTTGAACCGCTTTTGGATTCCATGAAGGGAATAGTTAGGAAAGGCTCTTAGTTAGCCGTTTTGGCCTAACTTTGTATATTGTTTTGGAAGGACCTTTTGTTTCATGGGATGACTTTTGTATGTACTTGACTGACTGTTTTGTATAATTGCTTGATCCTGTTACGTGTTCTATGTACATGTGTTATGTGTTTAAATGCCCTATGAAGTAGTTGTTTTGGCTAATTGTTCGTGTTTATTGTTACAAAAATGGGTTATGTGCCCTTTAACATTATACTTATCTTTTGACCTTAGATTGACTTAGATCGATGGAGGGCACTCGTAGTGGTCGAGGCCGTGGATGCTGGAATAGGCAACCCACGTCGGAAACCTTGTCTGGACCAAACCCTGAACCTAGGGTTGATCCCAACGTCCAAATAGCGGCTGCCATGCAGCAAATAACTAATTTACTAGCCCAAGTGGTGCATCAACAGGGTCAAAACCCTAACCCCAACCCTGGGAACCCCGGTAATCACGTGGAGAGCGAGGATAGGGCTCTTGAGAGGTTCCAGAAGTTTGCCCCACCAAAGTTTATCGGGGGGCCCGATCCGGACGTGGCCAAAAGGTGGCTAGAAAAGATGGTGGACATCTTTGCCGCCCTACATTATATAGAAGAGAGGCAGGTGACTTTCGTCGTCTTTCAACTGGAAGGGGCGGCCCGTTCCTATGGGTGAACTTTATGAAGGAGTTCAACGCCAAATTCTTCCCTCCTTTAGTTCAGGAACGGAAGGAAGATGAATTTATTAGGTTTCGTCAGGGGGCTTAGTCCGTAGCGGAGTACGAGAGCCAATTCACCCGCTTATCCAAATTTGCCCCCAAGCTAATCATGACCGAGCAATGACGGATAAGGCGCTTTGTCCAGGGCCTGAACGTGGAAATTCAGAATGACCTCGCAGTGGCCCAAATTAACACCTTCAGCGATGTCGTAGAGAAGGCGCAACGAGTAGAGAATGCTAGGCTACAGGTGAGAAACTTCCAAGCTAAAAAACGAGAGTTCCCAGGAAGTAGCTCGGGGTAGGGGGATAAGAGTATCCCTCCCAAGTTTGGACGAGAAGTCGAAGGTGGAAGGCAGCCGGGTGTAGGTAGAAAGGCTCAGCCAAGAGGTGGTCCAGTGGGGAGAGGTCAAAGAGGAGATTTCCAGAGAGGTTCGGGTTCTGCATCCCATGGACCCTACGGGTATTGTGAAAAGCCAAACCACACAGAGTACAACTACTGGAAGAAGGAGGGAAAGTGCCTGCGTTGCGGAAACGCAGACCATCAGCTCGCCACCTGCCCAGTTCTAAAACAAGATGGAAAGGGAAGTCAACAACCGCCAAGGACCAGTTCTGGACCAGTCAATGTGGATGGGACAAAACCCAAGGTGTCGGCTCGAGTGTACTCGTTAGAGCCACAGCAGATCCCTGATCCTTCCGAGGTCATAGAAGGTACGATCCCTATATTCCACCGACTTGCGAAAGTCTTAGTAGATCCTGGTGCCACCTATTCCTTTGTTAACTCCAGTTTCATGTGTGGTATTGATATAAAACCTGCTAGTTTACCTTATGACCTAGAAGTCAGTACCCCTACGGGGGGCTATCGTCTGATTACTAATATGGTTTACAAGGACTATGAAGTTTGGGTAGGAGAAAGGAAATTGTTAGGGGATTTGATAAGCCTATGCATTAAGGGGTACGATGTAATCTTAGGTATGGACTGGTTAGTTAGGTATAATGCACAATTGGATTGTAAAAGTAAGGTGGTAGAATTTCGCATCCCTGGAGAGGCGACCTTAAGATTAGAGATAAGGGGTAGGCTAGCCTCATCTGCCTTGATCTCGGGCATTCGGGCTAGAAAACTGCTAAGTAGATGGGCGTAAGGGTTTTTAACCTTTTTAATCAATACCCCCACCGATAAATTGAAGGTAGATGATGTGCACATAGTGAAGGAATATCCAGACGTATTCCCTGATGAGTTAGTAGCCCTACCTCCGGAGAGAGTGACAGAATTCAAAATCGACCTGTTACCGGGAACGTCGCCCATCTCAAAAACCTCGTATCGGATGGCCATTGCGGAACTTAAGGAGCTGAAATTGCAGTTACAAGACCTTTTAGAGCGGGAGTTCATTCAAAAGAGTGGGTCTCCTTGGGGAGCCCCTGTATTGTTTGTAAAGAAGAAGGACGGGAGTCTGCGGATGTGTATAGACTATCGGGGCCTAAACAATGTGACGATTAAAAATAAGTATCCGCTGCCCTATATTGATGAGTTGTTCGACCAGTTGCAAGGAGCAGTGGTCTTCTCTAAATTAGATCTTCGACAGAGGTATTACCAACTGTTGATTAGGAAGGAGGATATCCCGAAACTGCTTTCAACTCGAGATATAGGCACTACGAATTCGCAGTTATGCCCTTTGGACTGACCAATGCCCCTGCCGCCTTCATGAACTTAATGCATAGGGTTTTTAAGTCCTACCTAGATCGATTTGTTGTTGTTTTTATTGATAACATCCTGGTTTACTCCAAGACGCGTGAGGAGCATGAGCAGCACCTAAGAGTCATTTTGCAAACCCTAAGAGAGCATCAGTTGTACGCCAAGTTCAGTAAGTGTGAGTTTTGGTTGGAGAAAATTTCTTTCTTAGGGCACGTAATTTCCCAAGAGGGTATCTCGGTTGACCCAGCAAAAGTAGAGGCCGTGACTAATTGGAAGAGGCCAGAAAATCCCACGGAGATTCTAGTTTTCTAGGGTTAGCTGGGTACTACTGGCGTTTCATTAAGGACTTTTCCAAATTGGCCGGTCCCTTAACCGACCTGACGAAGAAACATGGTCGGTTTGTGTGGGATGCCAAATACGAAGCGAGTTTTCGAGAATTAAAGAAAAGATTGACCATGACGCCAGTTCTAGCTTTGCCTAACGGAGTAGATGGGTTTACCATTTACACTGACGCGTCGCGGAAAGGTCTGGGGTGTGTGCTGATGCAGAATCGGAATGTGATATCTTTTGCCTCTAGGAAATTGAAACCCCATGAGCAGAACTACCCAACCCACGATCTTGAGTTAGCTACGATTGTTTTCGCTCTGAAAAAGTAGAGACACTATCTATACGGGGTAACTTTCGAGGTATACTCCGACCATAAGAGCCTTAGATATTTTTTGTCGCAGAAGGAGTTGAACATGAGGCAGCGACGGTGGATGGAATTTTTTGAAGACTATGACTGCATCATCAACTATCATCCGGGGAAAGCAAACGTGGTGGCCGATGCCTTAAGTCAAAAGGCTCAGGTAGCGGGGTTAATGATCAAGGAGTGGGGTCTGTTAGAGTCCGTTTGTGAGTGGAAACCTTGCCTTGGGAGTCATAAGATGATTTTCGGTAATATCAGGGTCATATCCACTCTACTGGAACGAATTAAGGAAGCGCAAAAGGAAGATTCTATGGTACGGAAGTGGGGAGAGAAGGTGGAAAATGGGGAATCGATCGATTTCAACTTTGGTCCCGAAGGTGTTTTGAAATACCGCAACCGAGTGGTGGTGCCGAAAGATGAAACGTTAAAGACGGAGATCTTAGAGGAGGCTCATCGGTCCAAGTATACGATCCATCCGGGCAGTAGCAAGATGTATCAGGACCTAAAGGGAGCTTATTGGTGGGACAACATGAAGAAGGAAATTGCTCTATATGTGCAGAAATGTCTCGTTTGCCAACAAGTTAAGGCGGAGCATCAAAAATCATCTGGGTTGTTACAACCTCTTGAAATACCCGAGTGGAAGTGAGAAAACATCACGATGGACTTCGTTTCAGGTTTACCGCGAACGCAACGAGGACATGACGCCGTTTCTGTGATCGTCGATCGGTTAACCAAATCGGCCCATTTCCTGCTGGTAAACATGAAGTATTCCATGGATAAATTGACTCAGGTATACATGGACGAGATTGTAAAATTGCATGGGGTTCCTGTCAGCATTGTTTCGGATAGAGATCCCCGCTTCGTATCTAGGATTTGGCAGAAGTTTCAGGAGACTTTAGGGACTAAATTCAACCTAAGTACCACCTATCACCCTCAGACGGATGGACAATCGGAGCGAACCATCCAAACTCTCGAGGATATGTTAAGGACCTGCATTCTGGATTTCGGAGGTAATTGGGGTCAACATATGACCTTAGTAAAGTTTGCTTACAATAATAGTTATCACTCGTTAATTCAAATGGCTCCATATGAAGCACTTTATGGGAGGAAGTGTCGGTCACCGATCTATTGGGACGAAGTCGGCGAGAAAAAGGTGCTAGATCCAACAACTATTCCATGGATGGAAGATGCATGAGAAAAAGTCAAGTTGATACGACAAAAACTCCAAACCGCTCAAAACCGACAGAAGAGTTACGCGGACAATCGAAGAAAAGATCTGGAGTTCGAGGTGGGAGACCGTGTTTTTCTCAAGGTCACACCGTTACGAAGCGTTACGGCGGGTAGAGGAAAGAAACTCCAACCGAGATTCGTCGGATCTTTCAAGATTCTCCAGAGAGTTGGTAAAGTAGCGTATCGACTAGAACTACCGTCAAATCTATCTAAAATTCACGATGTCTTCCACGTCTCGATGCTTAAGAAGTATTATTCCGACCCATCTCACATCCTACAACCGGAGAAAATTGAAATAGATTAATCCCTCACCTATGAAGAAAAACCTGTACAGTTGCATGACCGAAAAGTTAAGGAGCTGAGAAACAAACAGATTCCGTTGGTGAAGATCTTGTGGAGAAACCATGGGATAGAGGAAACTACCTGGGAGGTGGAAGAAGAGATGCAAAAGAAATACCTTGAACTGTTCGTGAATCAAGGTAAGAAAATTTCGAGGGCGAAATTCTTTTAAGAAGGAGAGAGTGTGAGAACCCGTGAATTTTCTTATTTTTTAGGCTTTATTTTATTTAATTACATGCCTTTTATGCATTTTCTTTATTAGGAAAAATTTTATAAATAATTTTGATGAGCAAATAGGGTTTTTAAAATCATTTTTCTAGTATAAGTTAGTTCATGAGAATTTAGGAATGTATACCGGGCGTAGGACCCGCCAGTGCGGTAAGTTTGATAAAATTCGACCAACTAAATTAAGTTTTATATACCGGATTTAATTTATCAGGTTTTAAGAGATAATTAGAAGTTACCTAAATGGATTATCATTGGAGAGACAAAAGGATAACTCTAAACCAATAGGGTGACAAGTGTCACTTTCCTACTCAATCTTGACTTTGACTACTATTCACTAACTTTACTAAATATCTAATTTGGACCCAAAATCATCTTCATTCATCATCATCTTGGCCGACTCTCTCAAGGGAGAAAAGAAAAGAAAAAAACCTCCAACTTCCTTCATCTTAAGCTTGCTCAATCTTCAAATCTAACCGATAAAACTTCAAATCACTCCATTAAAACCCTTAGCTAGGTGGTATTGAAGTAGTTGGTGAAGTGGGTTGGAAGAAAGTGGTGGTAAGTAGCTTCTTTTCTTGAGATTGCAAGGTGAGTAGCTAAGGAATTCCATCTTTGGTCTTGATAATGTTAAATTAATGACTTATGTTGGTTAAGTTTTTGTGGAAGATTTCTTGACTTTTGGTAGAGATTGGTGAAATTTTTATTTTTATACATGATTTTTCTGTTTTATATGTTTAATATTGGTTGGCCATGGATGATAGCTTGGAATGGTCTAGAATGAAGTTTGGATGCATAAATTGTAGCTATTTGCGGAAATTTTCCGCTTTGTACGGAAAATTTCAGATTTAGGGTTTGAATTGGGGCTTTTCTAGGATTACTATAGAACTCTTGAATTGGTTTTGTTTAATGAGAATTAGAACCCTACTAAGGTGTATTAAAAGGCTTATGACTTGTAATTGTAATTGTGGTGGTGTTGGATGAATATAATTGATTTTTTTTGTAGGTTGGAAATCTGAAATTTTAGGGGTTATGCTGTCCAAATTTTTGGTCCATATGATTTCTTGGAATTGGGTTGCTTAGAGTGGTAATTAGTGACCTTGGGGTTATCTAAACCCTTAGCACCAAGTGTTCCTTATATTACTTTCAAGTTCTAATGGCTTTACATTAGTGATATGTGGTTTGAGTTTATGACTCGTATTCGAGTCTCATGGTGTTTACTTGAATGTTTTAGGGCGTGCCGGTGACCCAAGGCGCTCGTTGGATGGAAACTTGTGAAATTCCTTTTGCTTGATTGGTGAGTGTACTACTCACATGATTGTTGCTTCATGGCTTTGATTTACTTGAAATCTATGACTTGAATGCTTGGGTATACTTTGAGATTGATTGAGACGAGGGTGTACTTTATCACTCTCGCGCTCTATGGCTTATGTGATTGTTTACTGTATCAATTGAATTTCACTTGAACATGCTTGAATTGATGTCGTTGGACGTGTATCCAACGACCTTTACTGTTAACACTGAGCTCAACCTCATTGGCGGTCAATTGAATCGAGCCAGCAAGGGCTTGGTCAAGGAAGTTGACAAGCCATGGGGACTGTTATATGGAATCATTGAGTATGAGACTCTTGATTCCGGTATATTCGAGTATTACCATTTTTGAACTGTTTGAAGTTCGAGTCCGGTAGGGGTATGTGAGGTGGAAGGGAATTGGAGAAAAGTGGGGTCTACGATATTGGTTACTCTTTATACATTGACGGAGCGTCAATGAGGTGAGATCAAGTATGCCAAAAGTGGAAAAGGGCTCTTGAGAGCTGTTCGTATCCTTTTCCCCTATTTGTTGTGTGGTGTTAGTTGTGCTCACTTGATAAACTCATTTGAATTGTGTATCATTGTGATTATGTACTCTTTGAATGCCTGAGTGATGGTACCTTATTGAGCGAAAGGTCACTCCATTAAATTTTGTT